ATTGATGTAGGAATCAGCTGATGTGAGCCCACTGCAGGACACACTCCCTGAAGACCCAGATATCCGATTCTTTGTAGATGAATCCCATCCTGAGGATGACAAGACCCATACTGAATATGCTGTTATCACCCAGAAGGACGCTCTGTATTCAGAGTCACTGGATCCTTCTTCCCCAGCTCAAGAAGCAGAGCTCCATGCTTCAGTAAAGCCTGTGAGCTATCAAAAGAATATACATTTATGTAGATAATAGAGAATTAGAAATCTTTCGGAGTGGTGCATGATTTCGGTTCCATTTGAAGGACAGGACTTTGGAAAAAGATGATCTTTTATGCCTGCCAGCCACTCTTTTCCCTTCAGCTTGACACATGGAACGTGTCATCAGTCAAAAACAGTTATGGCTGCCTTAGATAATGAGCATGGGATAGCGCCAGGGTTCACCACAGTTGTTTTTGAATAAACCTGTTTGGTGACAGCTGTCCAAGAGGGGATATGCTTTTGCTTTGGAGGTATTTCCTTTTTGTTCCTGGCCAAGAGACACAACAGGAATTAAAACCTATGTTTAGTTAAAAAAAAATATGTGTAAATTAATTGGTCTATGTGAAAGTTATAGTGTTTACCAATGGCAGTATATACAGTATATACTGGAATTTGTTACAATTTTTACTAGTAATGGCGGCGATCAGCGACTTATAGCGGGACTGCGGCGGGCATTCTGACACTGGGGGGATTGACTTGGTGTCACTGACATCCCCAGTGACACCAATACAGTGATCAGTGCTAATATAAAGCACTGACACTGTACTAATGGCACTGGGCAGAAAGGGGTTAACATCTGGGGTGATCAAAGGGTTAAATGTGTGCTGTGTATGCTTTCCAATGTAACCACACTGCTTTGTATGGTTCTGCTATTTATTGTGTATAATAAAACATACATGAGGCTGCAAAGGGTAGTTTAAATAATGTATATATATTCATTCTCTCAGCTGCCTTTCTATAGATTCGCGGTAAGTTTTAATGGCGGCCTGGACAGCTGCAGAGCCATACAAAGCAGTGTGCAGGAGCTGACAGGGGAGAGATCTGTATTGTTTACATACAGTTCTCTCTCCTGTCAGTAATGCTCGTCGATCAGTGAGTGCCGGCAAGTAATCACCGACCGGGACCCAGTGACTGATAGCTGAGGCCACGAACGACGGCGCGGGTAAGGTGTGCATGTGGCTCGTGTGCACCCCCTACCCGGAACTGCAAAATCACTTATACATGCATGATTTTGCACACCCGTGCCACCCTGTAGCAATATTTCTGCTATATGGTGGACGGAAAGCAATTAAGGGAAATCTGCCCAACCTCCACAATCATTCCCTACTCTATGAAAAACTAAAAAAAAACTAAATTGGGGCTTTACAGAAAAAAAATACATTATAAACACAATAGAGTATTACATTGGATTCTAAATGATTCGATTCTTTGTAACAGCTCAGATAACAGAGACATTCATGAATACATTATCCAGCTATTTACAAATGACTTCATAATCGTATTATTCACAGAATAAGTGTATAATAAAACATACATGAGGATGCAAAGGGCAGTTTAATAATGTATATATATTCATTCTCTCAGCTGCCGTTTTATAGATTCGTGGTGCGTTTTAATGGCGGCCCGGACAGCTGATTCATTTATTCCATGTTTGCAGTCACAACATTATCATAGCGAGGAATAAACAAACTTGTATAATCCGCAGAAATGTACAGAAACATTTATCTCCTGCGCGGCTGACACGCGTTCCCTCTCTATTGTCACATACGCCGCTGTTATGCAGAGCGCACCATTAATGGTATGCAAATGAGGAGATGGCGTCGCCTAGTTTTGCCTCATATCCATATCAAATACAAGCGGCTCACAAAATCTTTCACCTCCTGCAATAGATTATATGATTTGAGTGTATTATAAGGATTCAAACAATGGAAGAGCGGGACTCAGAATAGATTCACTTAGTCATGCGTCAAGTAAAAGCCAGAACTTTGTTGCTCTGTCTGGGCTCCCCAGAACCCCAGCACTTGGTGATCCGTATGGAAATTTCACCTATTAGTTCTAATGCCCCCTTTCCCCTTGCAATACATATTCCTCTACTGGTCAGAGAAACACTATAGGCCCCTTTCACACGGAGTGGACCCATCAGTGGATCTGATGCTTAGTGGGGAATCTCATCGCTGATCTTTCTGAGCAGGCGGATGACAGGTCCATGTCCGCTCTGCTGCTGCAGAGCAGACACAGACACTGCCCACTGTCTTCTATGGGTGGTTGCATGGACATGAACTGCTTGTCTGTTTCCATCTGACTGCCATCCAGGGGCGGACTGACCAATTGGGAACTCGGGCACAGCCCGAGGGCCTGGGGTCAGTAGGGGGCCCCATGAGATGCCCCTGGTACCTTTCATAGGCTTTTTTGGGTGTGGTTTGAATGTGGGCGAGGACACAGGGGCCCCATGATCCCCTATTGCCCGGGGGCCCCATGAGTTGTCAGTCCACCCCTGTTGCCATCCCATCCGATCTGACGGACAGAAGGGGAATGGATCCCTCTCTGTCTTTTTTGGCAGATTGGATTGGATGTCGGCGGGTGTAAACAGACACGTAAATTTACACTCTGCTTCTCCATAGAGGTTCCGCTTTGGTCCACCTGAAAAATGAGCAGGTGGACTCAATCAAAACGTCTGAGCGAAAGGGGCCATAAGGTCCATTTATAAGGCCCTTTCACATGGGCGTTCCGATCGGCTCCACCTACCTGTGTTCCAGGCGAACTCAATCAGAATCTCCATTCTCCTCTATGGAATGGCAGGTGTAAATGGATTCATGTCCGTTTACACCCGCCGACATCTAATCTAATCCGATCTGCAAAAAAGAGCCAGATGGGGATTCAAATCCCCTTCCGTCCATCGGATCGGGTCAGATGGAAATGGACAGGCAGTCCGTTTCCATCCAACCACCCATTGAGGACAGCGAGCTGCTCTGTGTCCGCTCTGCAGCAGCGGAGCGGACACAGACCTGTCATCTGCTTGCTTAGCAGGGGATTAGAAGAGAGATCCCCCGCTGAGCAAGCGGATCCACTAAATGGGTTCGTCCCGTATGAAGGGACCCTTACCCTAGGTTCACACTTAAGCGGTTTCCGTTTTGCAGAAATGCAGTACAGTCTATTTAACATGATTTCCTATGGGACATGTTCACATCTCTGCGTTTTCACCCGGTGTGTTTTTTGGAAAGGGTCAGGGACTTTTTTTTTAACACAAAAGTTGCGTTTTTAGTTTGCTACAGAAAAGCAAGTACTGCATTTTTGCTGCGTTTCTCATATATTTTGCATTTTAAATCTGCCTAGCAAAAAGAAAAATTTAAAACATGAAAAAAAAGGCCTAAGGGACGGTTCACACGGTCGCAGTCCAGATGCGTTCTGGATGCATTTTTGCATGCACATTCTGGTGAGTTTTTGACACGTTCCAGTGCGTTGTTTATGCATTACAGGTCATTTTTCCTCTCTTTTTCTTCAATTTAAATAGGGACATGTGCATTCCAGTGTGTTTTTGATGCGTTTTACCGTGTTCCAGTACAGTTTTGTGCAGAAAAAATGCAGCCCGTTCTACTTTTTTTTCTCCAACCGGAACGCACTGAAACTGCCAGCACTGATGTGAACTATGACATTGACAACCATATAACCTACTTTCTGTACGCTTTGGATACAGAAAAAAAGCAACTGAAGCACATGTAATGTGAACTGACCCTAAAAGTAAGGATTATATGCTCTGCACCGACACACCCGACAAAAACAAAAAACACTAAGCCCGGGTTCACACTGATGCTGTGCGGAATTTCTGTGTGAATTCCGCACCGCATCACAATCGCACCCCGTTCATGCGAACCGCTACGGGTGTGTATGTTAAGTTAACAACACCCCGAAAAAATCGGTCTGCAAAACATGGTGCGATGTGCAGAATTGGATCACATAGATGTGAATACCCATGCAATCCGATTCTAGCTTGCACCAAAAAAAAAACATGGTGCAATGTGCAGAATTGGATCACATAGATGTGAATACCCATGCGATCCGATTCTAGTTTGGACCAAAAAAAGGGTCCTGCACCTTTTTGGTGCGGATGCGGTGGAATTTGAATCATACAAAATGTATGGCTCCAATCGCACCGCACAGAATTTGCATGTGATTTGCACAGGAATGCGGTGCGGTTTTTGTGCGAATCACATGCAATATGCCGCACTGAACAAGTGTGAACCCGGATTGAAAGGCAACACTACTGGAGGAATCCGTTCCAGAGTCTGCCTCCTCTCATTGCTGCAGTACAGATGCACTTACACTGCCAGCTGACCATGCCAGAGGACAATTGTCTCCCCATCTGGAAAGTTCTATTTTAGGTGTGTATGACGAGGTTGGCGTTCCCTGGCCTCTGAGTGACGTATCTAGTTTAGCAATCAGAGGAGCGTCCTGTATAATGACACCTGCAAGGCAGGAGAGGAGATGAAGGAAATCGAGAAGCGGAGCCGGATAAGAGGGTGTTCTACTTTAGCAGCTCATTGGGGACATGGAGGCCAGATGTTGAAGATGAATCGTCCTAGCTACAGACACTTCCTTTCTATTAATAGAAAATAGAGCACTTTTCCTATCAGCTGACCCTCCCAATCTGTCAGCTTCTTAGGAAATCATGAGAAAATCACATTCTGCTAACAAGGAAGAAATTCCTTAAATAGCCAAGATGGACAGATGCAAGTGAGTGGTAGTGCATTGGTAAATGAAGAGTTCCATATTGTGAATAGCCGTCACCCCATGGGGAAAAACGAGATATGCTCCATTAGAGGCTCATCAATTGGGTCATAGAAAATCCGCACTTAGAGGAACATGGGGGCTGCCAATATTGTGCGCTTCCTGAAAATGCTGCTCGCCTGGCTTTCTCTTTAAAGTGTTACTAAACCCAGGACCATGCAATCACTATATCTGGTCTCCCCAGACCCTGCATTCACTATATCTGGTCTCCCCAGACCCTGCATTCACTATATCTGGTCTCCCCAGACCCTGCATTTACTATATCTGGTCTCCCCAGACCCTGCATTTACTATATCTGGTCTCCCCGGACCCTGCATTCACTATATCTGGTCTCGCCAGACCCTGCAATCACTATATCTGGTCTCCCAGGACCCTGCATTCACTATATCTGGTCTCCCAGGACCCTGCATTCACTATATCTGGTCTCGCCAAATCCTGCATTCACTATATCTGGTCTCTCCCGGAATTGCATTCACTATATCTGGTCTCCCCGGACCTTGCATTCACCTGTCTCCCCGGACCCTGCATTCATATCTGGTCTCCCCGGACCCTGAATTCACTATATCTGGTCTCCCCGGACCCAGCATTCAATATATCTGGTCTCCCAGAACCCTGCATTCACTATATCTGGTCTCCCAGGACCCTGCATTCACTATATCTGGTCTCCCAGGACCTTGCATTCACTATATCTGGTCTCCCCGGCCCCTGCATTCACTATATCTGGTCTCCCCGGCCCCTGCATTCACTATATCTGGTCTCCCCGGACCCAGCATTCACTATATCTGGTCTCCCCGGACCCTGCATTCACTATATCTGGTCTCCCCGGACCCTGCATTCACTATATCTGGTCTCCCGGACCCTGCATTCACTATATATCTGGTCTCCCCGGACCCTGCATTCACTATATCTGGTCTCCCCGGACCCTGCATTCACTATATATATCTGGTCCCCGGACCCTGCATTCACTATATCTGGTCTCCCCGGACCCTGCATTCACTATATCTGGTCTCCCCGGACCCTACATTCACTATATCTGGTCTCCCCGAACCCGGCATTCACTATATCTGGTCTCCCAGACCCTGCATTCACTATATCTGGTCTCCCCGAACCCTGCATTCACTATATCTGTCTCCCCGGCCCATGTATTCACTATATCTGGTCTCCCCGAACCCTGCATTCACTATATCTGGTCTCCCACAGTACACAGAACATGGAAATGCAATTATTTTATTAAATATAAACTGCTAAATACCTTTTCTCATCAGCGGTTAGAGCAGTCTTGTGACTTCTATCAGTGTCCAGAAGAGCACTGGTTAAAGCTTGTAGGAGGAGGTTTCATTCTCCTCTGGCTGTTCTATGAGGCTGCAAAACCCCTGACCCTCTGTCTGTACAGTGCTGATTGGCCCTGTGCTGATCACCAAAAAAAAAAAAAACGTCTAGCAAAACACACCAAACTGAGCATGTGCAGATTGTCCCCAGGGCTCTGTTCTATCAGCAGATGGATTGGGGACTGTGGAAGAAGGGGAGGATCAGAGAAGACAGGGAGATCAAACAGCCTTTTATGTGGAGGATTAACCCCTTGGGTTCCTCAGCGAGGTATAAGAAGCATGCATTACTGCATATACAGACTGATTGTACAGCGTACTTTGTGTAGTAATAATAATAATAATTGTACTGTTTAGTAACACTTGGAGTATGGACAAACCAAAGTGAGAAGTCACAACTTCTGATAGATGTTGTGGGTCAGTGATACAGAAAGCACTGATGACACTGGATCAGCATAACTGATTGTACAAGGTGGAGAGCAAGACATCGCCGCATGCCCCTCCACCCATTACAAATAGAGATTATTATTATTATAGGCACTTATACAGAGTCGTCAATGTATGCAGCACTTTACATATATATATTGTGTATTCACATCAGTCCCTAACCCTCAAGGGGTGTACAATCTAAGGTCCCTAACTTACAGTCATACATACACATACTAGGGACAACTTAGACAGGAGCCAATTAACCTACCAGTATGTTTTTGGAGTGTGGGAGGAACCCCACACAGGCACAGGGAGAACATGCAAACTCCTGGAAGGTGGTGCTGTGGTTGGGATTTGAACCAACGACCCTAGTACTGCCAGGCGGAAGTGCTAACCATTCATCCACTGTGCTGCCCTAGATCACTTAGCATTAGTTCAGGAAATTCAATGTATTCTCTGAATGGCATCTGTTCTGGGTGGCCAACCTCCTGCGTCCAGAACGTAGCAGGGCAGCCACTTGGGATGGGACCCAGAAGCAAGTGGAGATCAGTGGAGTAGGTGTGTCTATTTCAGCGATTTCCATCTTCTAGGGGCATCGGCCAGGTCTGGTATATACAGAGTTACATTGGTCCAAGCTGAGTCAGTGTAATTATGCATAAAATATCCATACCTGGAATTCATCTTTAACTGCTGGGCAAAGTGCCCTTCCCTGTCATGGCCACTCTGTGTGGTTATGAGAAGGCTCATGAATCCTGGAAGCCCTGTTCATGGCCATGTAGCGGGTATGGGCACACAGGCACACGCATGTGGGAGTGCTCATTGGTGCCACGCAGGCTATTTAAACTAGTGCCATAGACGGGTCGTTTATCGGTCGATTTTTTGTCCGCACGACAAATTGGCCGATATTCATGCCGTTAGTGGGGCCAGCCCGTCGGCCATTTTTTGCGGATCTCCTCATTTATTTTTTATCGGTCATACTGGAAAATCCATGAAAAACGGCTGTTTTTCGTGGACATTGGTGGCAGCATCGGCAACAGGTCCAACCAATTTTTCGTTTATCGCCCAAAAATTTGGCCGATAAACAGCCCGTCTATGGCCTGCCTTAGTTTGGCAACCAAGTCCAGCTCTCTGTTTTAGGAGTGCTCACAGCTGACCTGTGTGAATAAAGCCTGCAAACATTGATTGGAAACTTAATTCATAAAAACATTGTTACCATGTTAGCGTAGTTACAATGTATTTTTAATATGCACAGCAAAGACATTTCCTCTTATCCGCTCATAATGTCAGTTCCGAAAAACCTGAAAGTATTTTTTATACTATAGGCGCCGTGAGGTGAGGTTTTAGGGTCATGTGACCGCCGTGATTCGCTGTCACTGCAATCACATGATCGGAAAAGGCCCCGATCGCAAGGGGAGATCGGGACCTTTCCGTGAGACACAAACATATGTGCTGGGAGTGCACGCTGTCAGCACATATGTGTTTTCAAATGGTATGAAAATATGTGGCTGCTCAGCCTCCAGGGCCAGCAGCCGAGAAGCTGCATATTTGCGTACGTCGGACTGAAGGGGTTAAACAATGTCCTTATTCTCTAGCAATAACTCATACACATTCACTACTTAATGGCCCTGCAATCTATTTTTGATTACATTTTCTTACTGTGTGTTTGCCTCTTTGTAATGTCCTCCCTGAGCTCCCAAACCTCTCCTTTTCCCGCTTGACGTCTGTTTGTTTGGACCGAGCAATGCATGTTAATTTTAATTATGTGAACAGCTCTATGCAGACCTACAAATCCCATAGTCCACTTCATAAGTGAGCAAGAAAGGGTGGCTATGTTCCTACGTACAGTGGGACCATGGAGAACGAATGTAGTCACCTTCTAACAGGAAGTCAGATCACAGCTGCAATAAAAAAATTACAATGATCTATAGAGTTTTGGAAAAATTGGAGAGTCTTCCTTGAGTAATTCTTGAATTGGCTGAGCATTACAGCAAGGGGAAACAATCCTTATTTCTTGTTATGGGGAAAAAGATAAAGCTTCTTTGTAATGACTGTTACTGCGGAGTATATTGAATAATCCTTAGGCGCCACTTAGTGTCCATTAAGAGAACTGTATCTCAGAGTACAGTATAACATTACATACAGGATATATTGTATACACAGTATATTTTATATATTAATAGAGGGTAATCAAGTTTTTTTTAATAGGAACTCCTGTCCAGGGGCAGACTGACAACTCATGGGGCCCCTGGGCAATAGGGGATCATGGGGCCCATGTGTCCTCACCCACACTCAAACCACACCCAAAAAAGCCTATTAAAAAAGCCTATGAAAGGTACCAGGGGCATCTCATGGGGCCCCCAGGCAATAGGGGGTCATGGGGACCCTGTGTCCTCACCCACACTCAAACCACACCCAAAAAAGCCTATAAAAGGTACTAGGGGCATCTCATGGGGCCCCCCGGCAATAGGGGGTCATGGGGGCCTGTGTCCTCACCCACACTCAAACCACACCCAAAAAAGCCTATGAAAAGCCTATGAAAGGTACCAGGGGCATCTCATGGGGCCCCCAGGCAATAGGGGGTCATGGGTCCCTGTGTCCTCACCCACACTCAAACCATACCAAAAAAAGCCTATGAAAGGTACCAGGGGCATCTCATGGGACCCCCAGCAATAGGGGGTCATGGGGGCTTCTGTGTCCTCACCCACACTCAAACCACACCCAAAAAAGCCTATGAAAGGTACTAGGGGCATCTTATGGGGCCCCCTACTGACCCTGGGCCCTCGGGCAGTGCCCGAGCGCCCAAATGGTCAGTCCGCCCCTGCTCCTGTCCAAAGAAAAGCGTTTACATAGCATAGATGGCTATATCTGAAAATCTATAATCACAAAGAAAACGTTGACAGTACTCACACATAGACGAGCTTCCTCTGTGATAACACCCATTGGCCATTTGGGATCAGACTCACCCACGCTGCCGCCTGTTTGTAGTATTTATTAATCCCAGTGTGCTCCAGTCAAAATGACCAATTTCACCACTGGGAACATTTCAGCAACGCAGGCACTCATTTACACTCGCTCAGCTGCTTGGGAAAAAATCTATTTCTTTTCCTTCATTTAGTGGGTGTGTTAAATAAAAGAGTATGTGGGGTAATGTGATTTATCTTAGTATTCTTTGTATTGTCTTTTGTGTGTATTTTATTGTTTGTGCGCTGTCACTTTCATTTTTTATTTGTTTTACTTTTAATTATCGAATTTTTATGTCTGTAAAAACACATAGAAGATGAGGCAAGTGAGGGGCATTTATTGGCATAAGAACAGGAGCCAGTTAAAGTGCACCTGGGCCCAGATTTCTGACATTACAAGTTTTCCATATTTTTAACCTTTTCATGATGGAGGGCAAAACAAATCTTAATGCCTGAACAGAGTAAAATTGTACATATATACGTATCACAACTACTTCATGTATCCAGGTGAATTATACTCAAAGCAGAGCTCCACCCAAAAGGGGAAGTTCTGCTTTAAGCCTTTGTCCCCCCGCTCCCCATTAAGGATTGGCACTTTTGGGGAGCAGCTACCCGAATTTTACAGGTACCCGTTCTAACTTCCGCTGTGATCACCTAAGGCAGGGGTGGGAAACTGTGGCCCTCCAGCTGTTGTAGAACTAGAGGTCCCATGAGGCATTGCAAAACTGACAGTTACATGCATGACTCCCAAAGGCAGAGTCATGATGGGGCTTGTAGTTCACCAACAGCTGGAGGGCCACATTTGCCCACCCCTGGCCTAAGGTGATTGAAAGCAGAAGTTGTCCTTCCCCCTCCCTCCCTGTAGTCTTCTAGGACACATTACAGATCCCAGAAGACTACGGGGCCATTCAGAAGGTGCAGTGCCTCTCGCGCATGCGCAGTGGGCACCCCGGCTGTGAAGCTGCAAGTTGTCACAGCCGGGTGGCCACATTGAAGATGCCAGCGCCGGGGAGAGAAGACAGCCGGTGAAACTAGCCATGGTGAGGACACCACAGGACCGAGCGACAGGTAAGTGTCTGTATTTTAAAAGTCAGCAGCTACAGTTTTTATAGCTGCTGACTTTTTTTTTT